AGGGGCCCCCAGAGCCCCTGGCATGGGGGGGAATGGTGTGAATGGGGAGGGCCCCAGAGCCAGCTACAAGCAGTCGGCAGTTACCTTCTCCCCCCCACTGAGCTGCCGCCTTGCTGCAGGGTGGGGGCCCAGCCAGAGGGGAGTCAGCGGGCAGAGAGTGAAGGGACCTTGCTCCCAGCCTGCCCCGCGCTGGGGTGGGAGAGGAAAGGGCCCCAGCTGTCCAGGGGGATGAAAGGCCCTTCACAGCAGCAGCGGGAAAAGGAGAGCGCTCCCGGCACCCAGCGCTCCTGGCATGTGGCAGAGGGGGGCGATGGAGGGGCCACAGTGCCCCCCTGCATGAGGGAGGGTGGGGGGGATTGTGACTCCGTCCCGGGGCCATGGGGCCGGGGCCTGGGGGAGGAGGGCAGTAGGTTGTGGCCACCGGGCAGGGCTAGCGCTTTGCCTGGCCAGCCAGCAACAGACTGGAAGTGGCTGAAGTGGACGGCCCAGGCACGAATCTAGCCAAGACACTGACCCTCTTCCCACTCCCCCTGGGGCAGCCCCACTGACTTCAGTGCCTCCCACCCCACACACACGCACGGCAGCAGAAGGGAAGCAAGCTGGGGATCGCTGCAGGCTCTTCCGTCTCACCAGCAGCCCCACGTGGGTTCTGTGAGCATCTCAGCAAAACCCTTTTCAGGTCCTGCCACGGGCTTGGAGGCGTTACTGAGTCTCGGGGACAGCCAGGCCCGTGGGCTCAGTCACCCACCGGGGCGGCCCCTGAATGCCCCCTTCCTCCCCCAGCTCTGCACAGCCACCAGCTGAATCCTAGGGTAGAACGCCTCCCCCAGAGGAGGGCACCCATGAGCGGCCAATCCCCAGGTGCCACACATCCCCCATCCCACCCGCCAAACTCTGGCAACAAAGCTGACACCATTGCAACAACAACAAAGAGCAAAGAGAAGAATCTGCCCGGGTTTCTGTATTCAAATGGGAGGGACCGGAGCCTAGTGAAAGATGCAATCCTCAAAATACCCACAACTACATCAAAATTCAAAACAAGTGTTAACAAAGAGCCGGCTAAGCATGCCCATTGCATGACTGAAAAGATGCAAGTGAATATTACTGATAGTCGACATGATGATGAATAATAGCACAAAGGAAACATTGTTCTCACAGACTTTATTTAACGGGACTTCTGGGGCTGAATCTTTTCGAACATTTCTTTGACGTTTACATCATAACTGGTCAAATTCAGGTCCAGGCGCACATTTAAGCGACATAAGTAATTACGCATTTTTCAGGTTCTGAATTCATTTCTCATTTCAAAAGTGGCCTGTATTTTGGGAATGGCAAGAGGGCCATATTTGGCTCCATACTGAGCCACATTTGGCTCGAGAGCCACAGGTTGCAGACTCCTGGGTTAACCGGTCAGCTTGAATGGGTCATGTTTACCGGTTCTGGTTAACTGGTGGGGGCTAGAGCAGCTCTGTCCATGACAGGCAGGAGGGGAGGGAGAGGTATTCTAGCCCAGCCACACTGGAACAGCCACCCCCCCTTTAATTGGTTAATCACCGTGTTTAACTGGTTAACCAATTCAACAGGATTTTACATCCCTACTCACCAGAGCCTCCCCGTTCTGCAGAGACAGAAAAATGTTCCTCCAAATGGTTCCCTCCTCCAGCCTTGAGTTGCAGTGATCACCTTACACCGCCCGCCCCACAAGCCAGCGTGCTCCTTGGTGAGCCCCCTATAGATATCAGACACCTGAAAGGGTCCTCCTGGATCTGACAGAGCCCTGCCAAGGCTGACAGGACATTGAGAGCATCCTACAATGCCCCGGGGGCCCTTGTTATATTCTGACACCAGGGCAGCATTTCACAACGCAGCAATGTTTGCATTGCACGAGGGTGTCAACGTGTGGGCCTCTCCCAAAGGACACCCGGTCTGAAGATGCTTCAAGCACCAAGGGACCTCCTGTGCCAGGTTCTGCTCTCTGGCACTCTGGGGTGAATCTGGAACAAATCCACACACTTGTGTGGGTCTCCTCCTGATGCACACCACTCTGACTGAGCAGGTAGCCCACCCGTTCTCTTGGCTTTTCCGGCAATGGATTTAGCATCACTGATTGGGAAATGCTGGATAAATCCTGTATGGAGACCTGCTTCTCATCAGGCCAAAGTCAACATGCATTTTGCTGAGTAAATTACCAACAATCCCCTGCACCAGTGAATCAAGAGCACCCAGCTCCTTGGTTTGTTTGTCAGTTTCTCCCTCAGCCTGTGCGGGTAACCAGGCACCAGTGAGTGAAGGGACCAGAATCCCCTCTGACGTGTACGGACAGATTTGGAATTCCCTAGCAGCCTGGAGAGACTGGGTGGCAAAAATCACCAGAGCCCAGAAATT